TTCCTGGGTTGTCCAGGACAGGGCAGGGCTTGAACAAATTCTGGCTTCCTGATATGAATTTCCCTTGGGAGATGAAAAAGGCAGATTCCCTACCCTCACATGGACGCCCAGAGAAGTGGGCTGGGGCTGTGCCTGTGCTTCTGAGGGTATGCCTGCCTGCAGGAGGTGAGATCCTAGGAGGAGGAAGCAAGGCTTGGCCAGGTGGCATGGAGCCCAGCTGACTCAAGAGACCTGGGTGAAGTCTGCACAAGGCCCTGCTCTGGAGCAGATGACAGGTTCAGTTCAGCCAAATMGACAGTGATGAGCACCTGCTGTGTACCAGTAATGTGGACAGGGAGGAAGCAAAGCTTCCCCGTAGGCTGCTCAGAGACACGAATCTGACAAGTGGGTCATGGGCTACCACACTCTGGCTGGGGGGTGTCTCCTGCAAGGACAAGAGGATTGAAAGTGGCAGGAAGGCAGGAGCCTCTTGATTAAGGCCTTTCAATGGCTTCTCATTATACWTACAATAAAATTCAAAACCTAGACAGAAGTTTAGAATGTCCAGCACGATCCTGCTCTGTCCAACACAGTGACCACTAGAAACATGGCTATCTCTCTCTTGAAATGTGCTGGTTTGTTCAAAAAAACTGAAATTTTCTTTTTATTTCATGTCATCTTAAGCAATAGWACAGCCACCACAGACAGAGCACTTCCACCATCACAGAAAGTTGTTCGGGACAGCACTGTCTGCTGCCCATCTTGGGCCTACTCTACCGCCTCCCTGCTGCTGGTCTGTGGGTTCCTAGGACACACCGGGCTCATGGGCTTTTTAAACCCACCATTCCCTCTGCTTGGAGCCCCTCCCCTCCCTCCCACAATGGGCAGCTGTGTTTCGTGTTTCAGGACTCGGTCTCCCCCCACTCCCTGTATTCTCCACCAGCCTCGCATCTGTTTCCTCCAGAGCACTTAATAATCCATAATCAGTTGCAGGTTTACCCTTCGATACCACTTTAGGATGTAAGCCCCATGAGAGCAAGATGCTGTTTTGGGTATCCCCGGGGCTGGTGTGGTGTTTCTCTTGCACTTAAAGCTTGATACATATTTAAATGGCTGATGAATGGGATCTAACACATAGGGAAATGCACTGGGGTGGGCATCAGCATAGAGTGAGTGGTTGAGGGTTAGTAGGGAAACAGAGTGATAAGGAACACCTGGGGACTATTTAGAGATTCAAGAGGGAGCAGCATTCATTGTTCACTGGGGAGGTCATGAGGCCCGAATTAGGCAGCCATGGAGGACTCTGCTGTCTGGCCAAAGGGCCTCAGATAGAAAAGGCCTGACAACAGAGAGTTGGCCCAGTGAGTGTTGTGCAGAAAATTCCAGGTGCCTGGGATAGAAGTCAAGGGCAAAGAGACTGGGTTGAATAAGGTGAGGCCGTCCTGGCAAGCAGACAGGTCCAGAAAGGAAGGTTGCATCGTCTCCCAGCCCCAAAGGGGGTCTGCATCAATTTGGTACACAAGGGGAGGTGGTCCCCTTACCTGGGGGGTTAGAAGTTAGGTAAAAAGAACCTGAAGCCTGGTTACTCTTAGAAGCATTAGGAATTCCAGAGACCTCAGCCTTGACTGGGTCTGTCCTCTGCCTGGCCGGGGCTTCCCTACCTCCCTATCTCTAGAAGGTAAACTTCACAGCCAGGAWGTTTGTCTCCTTTACCATTGTGTCCTCAGTGCCTAGGACAGGGCCTGTCCCATAGCAGGTGCTCATTAAATCTTGTTGAATAAAGAGAGCCGTGTGCCACTTTTTGGTGAACATTGAGTCGACAGGTTGTTTTACTCTCTTGAAGACCGGGAGCCTTGGTTGTTGAGAGTGAAATCAGGGTCATACTTGATGTGACAGGCAGACAACAGAAAATTAGAAGCCTATTATTCCTCATCATTTGTTCCTAAGCTCTTGAGGATGAAAATTTACTCATCTTGTTTCATAGTCAAGTCAAAATTAACTTCTTTTGGGAAGCTTTCCCCAGATCACCTGCTCATTTTCCAAACTCATTTTCCAAAAAAAAAAATTCACTCAAACTTTTCCACCATCTAAATATATGTTCTGACAGTCACCTGAAAGCATGCCACTTCAAAGATCAGTTTGTGTGACATTTCCCATGACACCTTTTCTTCATTTTAGCAATGCTACCCTCTTTTCTGGTTGATTTCCAAGATAGGGCCCCACATGGGGTGAGGCTCAGGCAGGTGGGAGAGAGGGTCAATAGGAGAACTTCAACTCACTGGCTCAAAAGCATGTACTTGAGCCGACACCTTCAAGCTCACATATACCTCTCTCTGCTGGCCTTGATCATGGGACTCCACTGCCCCTTCTTTTTCTCCTCCTAGTCCAGAAGGCTGATGTTGGCTCAAATCTAATCTTTACCATTGACTTAATCTGTGTTTTCTCAACTGCAAAACTATACTTCTTGGAGTGCTTATGGGGAGGACCAGTGTAGACCTGCTTGTTGGTGCACAGCAATGGCTTGGTGGGTGTCAGGGCCCCCTCGGCCTCTTGCAGATCCCCATTCACTTTGATATTGGCGGCAGGGGAGACCAAAGAGTTAGTCCAGAGGATCTGATTCAAGATTCCCCTGCTCTCCAAACCCACAAGTGGCATCAGGATTATATAGTGTGAGGACCACAGTATTAGATATTCGAACCCATTGACTATATCTCCTCACTTTATAGATTTGGTGCAGGGGGAAAGAGCCATCATGGAACATCAGGAGACACCATGAAGCAAATTAGTGACAACTGGAAGGGGAACCCAGCTGGCCTGACTTCCCTTCCAAGTGAAGGAAATAGATGTTATGGGAAGATAGATCCATGGAAGGGTTTTGAACCCACTGTTTGTCACAAAGAAATTACAAGAAGGCAGCCTGGCACTGTCATTGAGGGTCCAGACTCTCAGTCCAGGCTGTGTGTGCTTGGCCTAAYCTGTACCAATTACCAGCTGGTTGATCTCACTGAGTGTCAGGTTCTTCATCTAAAGAAGAAATATGGTGGTGCTGATACCTGCCGCACAGGTCATGCTAAGGGTTCAAAGCATTATAAGGATGACAGGGTCCATACGACAGGCTCAGAATCATGTTTGACTTGTAAACATGGGGTGCTCGTAGGAGCATAGTAAATGATGGCTATTGCCATCAACATATCAAAATAATGTCAATACCAAAATAATGTCAATAGATCAGCAGCTAGAGAAACTGAACTTTATACTTGGAAACAGTTGTAAAGATAATCAGTTTTGGTGTCTGTGAACTTGATTTTTATAGGGATATGGGCTACTCTAGTCACCTCCTTCAGGGCCCTTCTATATCCTAGTAGGTAGCAAAATTATCATTATTTTAAGACATAATTAAGGTTAATTATGGCTAGCATATTAGGTTTTAGATAGGCCAAATGTGGGATACAATGGAGTTGCATTTTTATATGCTGTCATGTGCACTTTATAATACACTTGGGTCCTTATATATTCGGTGTGCACCCTACTTTAATGCCCATTTTATAGGACTTTTATAAGGCAGCTGGATAGTGTGGTAGAACGAGCACCGAACTGAGAGTCAGGAGGCCTGGTTTGAATAGAGATATTGCCACATATTAACTGGGACACCACAGGCAAGCTACCTCCTCTCCTTATTAGTGCAGTGTGGAGCTGGGTTGGGTGATTCCAAAGCTCTGTCCAGCCCTGGTAGTCAGTGACTGGAAGCAGAATCTGAAAATATCAAGTGATGATAAAGGGTTATAGGTGTTGAACTTTTGCATCTAATTATGACATGTTTTTGGTCACATGTCTGATTTATTTCTTGCTAAGTCCTTTCTCTGCAGAGTAGAAGGGCAAACTAAAAGTGATACGTATGAGCTGTGAGAAGCMATTACAAATGACCACGGTGACAGCATCCCATAGATATCGGAGACCCCAAAATTAAGCTGACCAGACTGCACTGCTACACAGTTCAGTGATGGATGTCCAGAACGAAAGGACCAAGTCATCAAGAAGAATGTACAAGGTGCTCAACGTGGCTTTCTTTAGAAGGCAAGATTACATGCGATGCCTYTTAGAAAGATTCCCATCAAAGTACTTTGAAAAAACACTCAGCTGCTGTTACACACCAAATTCACTGGTGTGGCCCCCTCCATGCCTGGAGAGGATGCTACATAAATGAAGTATCTGTGTGTGTCCCCGGGGGTATGAGTGTGCATAGGAGAAAGCACCCTGCAGTCCTAAAATACCAAGTCCATAGTAGGATAGTTTTAGAGATGAGATGGCTTCAGGTCTTTCAGTAAGGATCTGGGTAAGATTCAAGTTAGGCTTCATTCACCTTAAACTAGCTAGCATTCATTCATTCAAAGATATTTTTTATCGAGTGCCTAAAATATGATATTGTTTTAGGGGCTATTATGGAGTTTCAGAGAATCCATTCTTCACATGGTGTTGTACAGGAGTGTATCCACAAGCGACAGATGTGCTTCTTTGCAGTGTTGTATTTGACCTCTGGTCCTTGGTGTGGCTTTCCTGCCCTCACTTCACTCCCTTCAAACATTCTGCCTTAGAGCAGAATGAGGGGTCCCCATAAGACTGAGCAATCCCCTTGGGCAGGAACTGTGCTTCTTGTGCCATAAGCCTAGGAGCTCCCAAGGATGGGGTTGGTCTCTGCCATGACCTCAGTGCAAAGGGAGATTGGCACCTGACTTTCAGGGTAGGGGGCCTGGGCAGAAAGACTCCTTTTTCCTAGAGAGAGGTCTCCTTCCACTCCTGGGCTGAGCACATACTTTCTCCATGAGCCAGCAGGAGCAGAACAGAGGGGCGTCTCCCTAGAGCCTCACCTCCTAGGGGAGAGAAAGGAGGAGCGAGCAGGAACTTGAGAGCATCCCACACAGGAGAGCAGCCCTGCCCCYAAGAGCTCTCGCTCCGCAGCAGCAGTGCCCTGCAGCTGGGCGTCTGAGCCCTGGCGGCGGCGCGCAGCCCAGTGGAGTGGGTGGTGCAGGGCAGGGGTGGTATATCCTGTCTGACCGAGGGCGGGCCCTGCCAGTGCCTGGAGACGGACGAGCCAGGGTGGAGGCGCCAGGAGCAGCTGCCGGGAGTCTTCACGCGGACCACTCACTCTATGGCCATAGGGAGTCGCTGAGAGCGACAAGAGCACGCTCCCGCCAGCTCGCTGCACCGCACCTCGCCCGCGCCTCTGCTCTCCAGGTCCCGGCCCGCGCACCTTCTGCCACCATGAACCACTCCCCGCTCAAGACAGCCCTGGCATACGAATGCTTCCAGGACCAGGACAACTCCACGCTGGCTTTGCCGTCGGACCAAAAGATGAAGACGGGCACCTCAGGCAGGCAGCGCGTGCAGGAGCAGGTGATGATGACCGTCAAGCGGCAGAAATCCAAGTCTTCCCAGTCGTCCACCCTGAGCCACTCCAACCGAGGTAAAGGCCTGGCGCCCACACGACCGGTGCACACCTCCCTGGCGCCTCGAACAGGCGGCGGGAACCCAGAGGCTGCCAGCTCCAGGCAGGGTCTCCGCCAAGTGGGAGCAAAGCTCGTGGCAGGGTGGAGCCGCGGCCAGCCACTGGCTAGCCGGGTCCAAGAGCTCGGTGGTGCGCTAGTGGGCAAGGTTGGGTAGCTCCCWGGGGTGAATAGCAGGGAACATCCCTCCAGCACTCCGGGAGCCCGAGAATCTCCCTGCAGCTGTTGTCCGTGTCCCATCCYTGGATCTGGACCGCCTTCTCTTTCTGGTTTTGCTCTGGGGACCAGCCCACTATTCTGTATTGCCCCGCGGTTCACCGCCCCAGCGCTCACCCAGGGTTCTGGTCACTTCTCCACAACCATCCTTCTGGGCTTTGCGATCCTCTGCACCTTCAGTCTGTGGTCAGCGCCCAGTGTCCAGATTCAGTGGGATCCTGATCTTGGTGGGGCTGGTGCGTAGTGGCATGGTCAGCTGAGAGAATCACTGAGACCCGAGTGAAGGCTTGGGAGAGTTCTTCAGGACTAGGAGATACATGGGAACCAGACCAAGTCCTTGGAACTCCCCAGCATTCTAGTAGGAGCTCACCCCAGGAAGAGGCAAATCTKCTTGAAGTAAGCTAGGAAAGTGGTCTGAGATGCTGTTTCSTTTCTTTTCTYTTCTCTTTTTCTTCTTYCYCCCCCCCCMMCMMCYYYTYTT